TCTAACACAGACATAGTTCCGACTATTTCTCGATCACAAAGCTCAGTCCCTCCTGGGACACACTTTTCGACTCACCAGGTGCAGAGTGCAACCGAGCAGCCATTTCTAACATCAAGCGCCCCTAAATCGGGAGACTCGCTGGAGCAAGTGAATAGCACGAGGAGTCGTGCTGCTAACAATGATCATTACCGCCTAGCCAGTCAGCCTGAGATCGCAGAAGAAGTCGCGCAGACCAGAGTTAACAGTGATATGGGGTTGATGAGTGAGACATTTCAATCTATGAGGTTAGGAAATACTCCTGAGGCGACGTACTCTTCTTCGCCTCAACAACCTTTAAACCCTGTTCCATCACGGCCGGAGAGTGTTTCTGTCCCCGTGCAGCCACCAGGTGCTCAATTACCAAGCGATAGTGGTTCAGCTACTCCTCCAACACAGTCTCGGGCGGCCGAGAAAGAATGTATATCATCCAACGCTACATTCCGCGCCACTTGGTATACCCATCGTCAGGCTCCGGATTTTCAAATCTGTATGAATTGTTATGAGACCCATATCAGCAGCTCCAAATTTGCAACAGAATTCCAGGGGGCATTCCGAGAAGATGGTATGCCTCGCGCATGCGGGTTCAAAATTCCCCGTTTGAAAGATAGCCTCTGGACACACGCTCTGTCAAGCGGCTCGCTCGACAGTGTAGTCGAATATTTGATTCGCCGACCAACCATACCAGGCTGTGTCGGCCAAGGCGGAGCGAAGGGCAGTGCCGGGATCAAATGGTATCGGACGAAGAACAATGACATCCCCGCCATGGTGGTTTGTCAGGCCTGCTACGAGGATCTGATCCTTCTATATCCCGGGTTTGGCACAGACCATTTCGAACCCAGCACCATCCCCCACGCGACAGACCAAACGTGGTCCTGTGACGTAGCGGTACCGTATATACAAAGAGAGTACAAGGCCAGGGCTTTGACCAACGACTGGCAGTCCTTCGTTCAGGGGGTAGCAGTCCGCATGTCGCTCAAGCCATGCCCGGGGGAGAAAACAGCGTATCCAGACAAGAAATGGTTCACGCCAGTTCGTGGACCCCAGGGTCTACTCATCTGCGTCGCCTGCTACTGCGATTACGTACTTTTAACCGGACTGAGCAGCGAGTGGCAAGACGCGGGCGATGACTTATCGAGCCGCTTCGGCGTCTCGGTGAGCTGTTATATCGGAAAGCAATTCAACGTCCGGGCCCTCGCGGCTCGAACGCTAGACACCAATGATTACGAGTTGTTTTGGAATGCATTGGACGTTGTCAACCGCTCGCCCTTGTGCGGCAGCGCGATGCAGAATGCGACATGGTATACACTAAATTCTGACCCTAATGGCTTTGAGATATGTGCAGCTTGCTACGTCGCCATTGTGGTGCCCATGGGCGTGCACCAACACTTCAAGCACAAGGATGATGTCCCTCCCGGGAGCAGTATAACGTGCAACTTCAACCCGGCCATTGCGCGATTCCCCATGTACATGAACAAGCTTCTGGAGATGGTATACAAACAAGACCCGGCACCTCTCGAGGCGTTTATCAAGGAATATGCGTTCATGCCCGAATGTCGTCGCGACAGGCACGTGGAGAAAGCGCGCTGGTTCGGCTGGAATGAGTGCACGATCTGTGTTGAGTGTCACCACGAGTTCATCCGCGGTACGGCGCTTGCAGACGCAATGCCGCACCAAGGAACTCAAGTCGCAGGCAGCGTCATGTGTGAGATGTACAGTCAGCGGATGCGGCAGCTGTATCTCGCGGCCTGTGCCTCGGAGCCGCCGGATCCGCACCCGCTGCTCGAGTACAGCATGCAGCGACGTGCTGTGTGGGGAGAGACGATGCCGCGTGCTAGACAGATCATGAACGACATCCAGCTGAAGATTGCGCGCCAAAATATGGCCATCAGCAATAGTATATTTTACACGTTTTCCGGGAATTTGTTCCACAATACCCTGCCGTTGGAGCAGACTTTCAGCAGCGCAGCGATTGGGTCTGGTCACTATAATCATATGCAAATCAAAGGAGCGGAATATGGTCGTCAAGCGACCGCTATTGGGAATGATATACGCGGCTCGCCGGCATATGTCGCTGACGAGCTGGTGAGGCGGTGGAGGGCTGTCGAATGAACAACGACCATGCTCAAGAAGCTCGCTCTCTGGCTCGAAAGATTAGAGCTTGAGCTATATAGCTACATATCAATATTCTTATCAGTAAACAAAATCATGAGAGACAAAATTAGGAGACCAAGAAGGATACGAAGAATAACCGTAAACAAGCCTTGCGTGGTACTTCAAGTGAATTAGAACAATGCGTGTATCGGATCAATGGTCGCTTTCTCATACATTTGCTCGACGCATGCAAGAGAGTGGTGGACCAGCAAAGACAAGCAGCTCACGCTACTTACGCTTCTTTTGCGCCGCGTCCTCCCCAAGCAGCTTCATCACCTCAGGCATGCGGAACATGCGCCAGCACACGGCATCAACCACCCATTCGCCCACACTGTGACCAAACCACGCCGTCAGAGATCTTCCGCCGTTCCAAAACCAATCTGGCCGTCCGAATAGACTGCGCAGCCAGCCCGGTCTTTCCGGTCGAAGCGACGCTGCGACTAGTCTCTCCGCGAAGACCGTTGTGTCCATCGTGTGATGATTCTGACTGAACACGAGCCGCCACTCAAATACGCGTTTGGCCCTCTGGTAAACGCTATTTTCAGGCAAAACACGGTGGCCATGGCTTGCTGTGTTGCTCTTCACTGAACCCGTCATCGACACCACTGTAACGGTCAGAGTCAATCATTGCTATTGCACAGTGCCTTTTATTGAATATTTTCTAATGCTAGAGAAAAAAAAAAGGGGATAATGCTCTCCAAGTCAAAGGGTTGAGTCCAAATACTTACTGACGCGCACGCCGAGGGGTGCAAGCTCTAAGCGCAGAGTACGCGAATATGCGCAGACGGCGGCTTTGCTGGCGCAGTAGACGGACCCGAACAGATACGGCGTGATAGAGGCGAGCGACGAGATATTGACGATCAGGCCCTTCGCGGCGGCCAATTGGCCGATGAACGCTTGAACCATGGCCATAATGGAGAAGACGTTTGTCTCAAATGTTGCGCGAACGTCAGGGAGCGAGATATCGAGTGCCGGATGCGTGTGCGTGCGACCTCTGAAGAACTCGGTTGAGTATTCATATCACGTATGCAGACAGCGAGGACAGCGAGGACCCCATTCCACGCTCGTGAATGCTAGAAGAGAGAGCTAACGCGAAGGAGGCTACTCACGCATTGTTCACGAGAATATCAAGCTTGCCGCCATTGATCTTTGCGACCTCGTCGTGACATTTCTTGATGCTCTCGGCGTCGGTCACGTCCAGCGGGACAACACTCATCCCTAGCCCAGCCAGATCAGCGATGACTTCAGGCCGACGCGCAGTAGCGATCACATAGAGTCCTGTTTATGCCTTGTCAGTAAAGCAAAGCTTTCATATGTGAAGATGTCATTCTGAAGTGATGGAATCAGGAAATATACCTTGTCTTTGATATTCAAGGCATAAACTATGGCCTATGCCTCCGGGTGTGCAGCTACAATTCGATTGCGCGTTAGCGGGGTTTGGAAAACTAGACCTAGGATCTGAGCTGAGCGTCACCATACCCAGTCACAAGGACCGTCTTCTGGCCTGGCTTAGGTCCTGCCATGATGTTTTGTTTGCAATAATCAATCTGATGACTCGGTAGAGGTAGGGTTGTATGAGAGAAGGGTGTAGTTGTTGATAAGTTGACCTACCTACCTACCTACTAAGTAGTGAGACAACCCCGCTCAGTACCTGTATTTATTTAAGCTTTCTATCTACCTAGTAACCACCCAAGGCCACCCAGGGAACGAACCTACACCGCTTTGGCGAAGTGCGATACCGAGGCTTGCTTGAGGGTAAATGAGGCGCTTGAAGGCGCATTCCGTACGACAATTCTCATGAATAAGGCTTCATGATGCGAGAGCTGAAAATCCTTCCGATCGGTTACCCCTCTCCATCTTACTATACATTCTCCGTTACTGTTTGTACTAGAATCAATGTTATCTATCACGAACTCACCTCTGTAGCTTTGAAGCCCCAAAACTAAAATAGATTCAAGGACGGATTCAATCACTATCTGCTTAAATATTAAGGGATAGATGGCCCCGGGGGTGGTCTTACAGTGCCGCTCAGTCAGACTTCTATCACTAAGAAACATGAGATGTAGTCCGACTGAGATACATGTAAATCTTTTCTCTTCATTTAAAACCAACTGTCTAATTGTTCCTCGCAGTTTGATCATTGGCATTTTTAGTGTCGAGTCATGATTGTCTCTTATGATTCTAAGTATGAATCCTTTTCATTTGCACAACAGAACAAGGGATTCAAAGTGTCATGTACTGTGTTTTTCATTGGTTGAGGACAGTAGATATCGGTATCGGAGATAAAACGAAGAGGTTACCTACTACGTTGAACAATCACCTGCTCCCTTGGCCAAAATCCCGCATGCTCGAACACCAACTACTACGTACTTGCCATGCTATTTTGAGACACTTCATTACTTAAGTCGCTGTTGAAAGTAGCTGCGCTTACCCCGTCTCCAGGAGTCCAGGTAGCCAGGGTCCGTCAAGGGAGGGCTGCTTCCCATATGTTAACTAATTGATAGCACTCTAAAACAGTGTAACTTGCTAAATATGAGTTACTCAAGCACGTAATTATTCTTTTCATCCTACCTAATTAGATGTCTATACGAACTGAAACCGCTATTTACCTACTTGGTAGATTTACTCTTAACATCCCACCACACCTGGCAGGCAGAACACGGGGCTTACTTACAGCCAACTACCAACTAATACTGTACTGGTTAGCCCCGCACTCCGCCCGCGCCAGTTTAGCATAGCGCATCAGACTTTTCTCGAGCCCTCTTCGATCTTGGATTTATAACTTTTGACTAAACATGTATCGTCTCCATGGTGAGATGGCCGAGTGGTTATGGCGCTGCGTTCAGGTGAACCTGAATTTCGATACCAGGAGTTCATCTTGATATCAAGATACAAATATCGCAGTGGAGCAATCCGCGTGGGTTCGAGTCCCACTCTCATCAGCAATTTGTCTTTTGTCTTTTGCAGTAACACATATTTTTTGTGTTTACTGGTTTTTATCCTTTGGCTCAGTCTAGATACCAGTTCTAGCCGTATTCAAGCCAACACAAGTACTATATAAGTGCTAAGAGAAGGCATATCTAAGTTTAAAAGATGATCACCATATCGGGCTACTTCAAAAGCATGGATGTGATATTATACTACTCACGCTCTATCTTCGAAGCTATCATGACTTACTTAGTCTTGGCAAGTTGGTCTGTAATTCAAGCCTGTTGTTGTCGGTTCTTCCAACCTTCCTTCCCTTTGACCATGGAAGAAATCGTCTGCTCAATTGGAATGGGCTTCAGTCCAACACGACCCAGCAATGTGTCTAACATAGAGTCATCAACATGACATTCTCCGTCTTCGAGGGCATCATAAGTGCTAGCCCACCACTGAATAGCCGGACTCGACATCCCCTTTTCTTCCACATAATACCGTTCATGTTCCTGACGTCCAACAATATCGACTCGGACATCCTTCCCTCGCGCTTCACCAACAAGCCGCGCAATTTCACCGACTGTCTTGGCCGTATCAGGGCGTGTAGATAAATAGAAAGTCTTCCCCACGAACTCATCATCATCATCACTGTTACCAGTCTCAAGTTTAGAGCTACTGGAGGATAGCACAAGCGCACTAGCAACACCAAGATCATGAATAGCAGTCCAAGAGATCTTCCCGTCCCCAGCTAGGGGCACGACATCCCTCTCACCATGGGCATTGCCCACGTCGAAATAGCCAAGGTAAAGCGGCCAGGACTCATTGTACAGCCCCTCGCGGAGGATCGTGACATGTACGCCGTGCGTCGCGCTCACAGAGCGAAGATACGCCTCGGTGCGCAGATGTGCGCGCATCACCCCTGCCTTGCTACCCGCTCTGTCAGGAGAAGAAAACGCAAAGGCCAAGCTCGAATACACGATCCATTTGACACCCGCCTTCACGGCAGCGTCAATGGCGTTCTTATGATGGCTCTCACGCCCGCGGACTGCATCGCCCGTCGCACGGGTGCCGTCGTAGTCCATCGCGACTCCGAAGTCGAGCGCGATGTTCGGCGTAGATACGAGGAAGAATCTCTCCACGCCTTGCAGGGCGCTTTCGAAAGTCGCGGCGTCTTCGAAGCGTGCATGTCGTACTTGCGCGCCCGTTGTCGCTAGCTTGGCCCATGTCTGCGACTCCGGCTTGGAGGATGTGAGGGCGATGATGTCAGATGGCGGGACGAGCTTGTGTGCCAGGAGTGCGGAGAGCGTGGCTCCGCCCAGCTTGCCCGATGCGCCGACGATTGCTAGTTTTGCCATTTCTATTGTATGTTATTTCTTGTCTTTGGATGTAGAAAGGTGGGTGACTTGCGGGTAAGGTAAAATTATGGATGGATGGATGAATACTCCGTCAAGTGCCGAAGAAACGTAGTTCACATTGTTCATCTACTGGTCGAGAAGAGACATACTCGGTCATATATATGCTACTTTTCATCATAATTTCGCCGGGGCATCTACCGAATCCAATTGTCGTCAATCAACTACAACGTCCCTCTTTAGTCAGGAAAGGATTGTAGCTGTGATGGGTGTGGTCTCTCAATTAATAATTCCCCATGCAACGCAATTCTTAACCAGTTCAGGAAAGAAACCGCGAACAAAACATTAGTGGCCTCGACTAACCAGTGCTTTTCTTCGTAAACTAATTTGATGGTGCGGATCGGTCTGTAATCCGATGCCAAGACGGACTGGCAGTCGGCAATAAGATAGAGTTGGGAACGTAAACGCCGATAAACTAAAGAAGATGGAAAGGTTCGGCCTGGCAATACCCCTTTTCCTCAGTCCTGTACCAAAATACAAAAATTACAAACTGTACGAGAATCTTTATTAGGTACATAGCATTAATAAGACACGTTTCCGCATTACCCATTGAAGCCATTACCCCTTGACTACCTTTTATGAAATATGCTCTATCCACTTCTCCAGCTCCTGGGGCTATTCCGAGACCGAATATCCGGCGACTGAAATCAAGGTATGCAAGCCCGCTATATAGCTATGAAGAAGTTCTTCTCACCTTCTTTGGGCTGAACTCGAGCTCGCTCCATGATAGGATCGACACATGATAATCGAATCCTCTCAGACGTAGCCGGACTCTCTAGTCTCAGTAAGCCATCGTCTTCCCCGCCCTCGGCTCCTGATTTAGCCTTGACGCCATAGTCTGCGCGTGCGGATTTTAAGGCGTCCCGAATTGCGAAGAAGACGGCGCTGCCCATGAATAAGGGAGGCTCGCCAACCCCTCTACTCCGCTGGATGGTGCGGAGATTCTCCCACGTTACACCCTTGAGGAGACTGATATTGAAGACCTGTGGTATGTCACGGAAGCCTGGAATTTTATATGCGCCTGGGCCCTTGGTAAACAAATTTCCTGCCAAAGGCCCATTACGAAGCCATAGGCTCTCCTCCATCGTGAAGAGACCCATGCCTTGGACAAAAGCTCCCTCTATCTGGCCGTAGTCAATAGAAGGGTTGATCGAACGGCCTACATCCATCTTTATGTCCGCTCTGAGACATGTCCAGGTTCCAGTGAGGCAGTCGACCTCGACTTCAGCGGCTGTGACGCCCTGAGTGAAATAGAAGAACATTTTGCCAGTATTCTCGCCCCATTGATACCCGATTTCGGGGGTCTTGTAGAAGCCGTTGGCACTCAAATTCACACGGTCGAAATAAGCAGCGTGGGCGAGTTCCTTCATCGTCGCTTTTGGTCCAAGTTTTTCCCGATATGGAGCCAGGCGAGCATTAATCTGCTCACAGGCGTTCCACAACGCATATCCGTTTAAGTCAGATGACGCGGAAGCTGCTGTAGCTGATGTGTTTGCGACAGTATTTGTAGCAGTCTCTGATATGAATACACTTTCCATAGGAACTTGCAATGCCTCAGCGGCGAGAGTGATCATCTTGGTGTGTAATCCTTGGCCCATCTCGGTTCCTCCGTGCGCGACGAGGACCGATCCATCGTGATAAATATGAACTAGCGCGCCAGCTTGGTTGAACCAAAGGGCCGTAAAGGAGATGCCAAATTTCGTTGGGATGATGGCCAGCCCTCGCTTACGCCACTTGTGATCTTTGTTAAACTCTTCAATCGCCTTACGTCGGTTGATATAGTCCGACTCTTCTTTTACTTGCTTGTACATCAAGGGAACATGCCAGTCTTCGATGGTTTGGTTGAAGTGCGTCTGGTCATCGATCTGGTAAAAGTTAATTTCACGTAGGTCCTCCACGGCCATTTCTAATCGATCCGCAACTTCGGACATCATGGACTCGATGATGAACATGCCTTGAGGCCCTCCGAAGCCACGGAAGGCCGTGTTTGACATCGTATTGGTCTTGCACAAGCGACCGCGAACGTGGACGTTAGGGAATTTGTAGCATCCATCAATGTGTGTCATGCAGCGTTCGCAGACAGCTGCGCTAAGATCGCGGGAGTACCCAGCGTTACAGAACACATCGACGTCGAGGGCTTGAAGTTTACCATCCTTGTTGACGCCGACTTTCCACTTCGCAAGGAAAGGGTGACGCTGTCCGGACATTGCCATATCTTCATCTCGGTTGAGCATACATCGAACAGCGCGCTTCGTTTTCTGGGCAGCCAGCGCCATTATAGTGCTCAGGTGGTTGCATCTCGTTTCCTTGCCACCAAAACCCCCACCTAGACGCTTGACTCGAGCCACAACTTTATTGGCCTGTACACCGAGGACTTTCGCAGCATTCATTTGGCTGTCTTTCGGTTAGCTTCAGATCGAGTTGTCACTGGGTCTGTTGAACTTACGTCTCAGTCGGGTTTTGACTACTGGCCCAAATCTCCATCTCGCCATCCTCAGGTTTTGGTATTGCAACGCAGGCATTGGTTTCAAGATAGAAATGCTCTTGACCGCCCATTCGCGTCACACCAGTAAATATGTGATCACATTCCTTGAGAGCCTTCTCCGTGTCACCTTTCTTGATGTAGCCGAAGAAATGATGAAAGCTCTCTTTTTCGATCGCCTCTTCCATTGTGAAAATAGCTGGAAGATCTTCGTATTCAATCTTGACCGCGCGTACTGCCTCATTTGCTCTGGCTTTCGAAGTGGCTAAGATTACGACAATGGGCTGACCCGCGGTAAGCACCTCATCTTCTGCAAAGTAATAATCGTCAAAGCCCGGAGGTCCCCATCTGTTATCCTCGGGCCTGTGCAGGTCATTTTTATCGACGACATCTACAACTCCCGGAATATCCAGAGCATCAGAATAGTCAATAGATTTGATTTTCGCGTGTGCCCGTGAAGAAAAGACGATCGAAGCATGGAGTTCATTTTTTAATGGTGGGAAATCATCGGTATATTGTGCCTCGCCAGTCACTTGTTTTAAAGCAGCAAGGTGATTTCCAGCTTTTCCGAGAGATTCCTGGGTATATTCGGCGGTCGCTTCATGATCTTTCCAACCTGTCGACAATGCTCGCTCCAGCTCTTCGACAGCTTGGCTATCGCCATGTTGACTCTCTGTGTTGAGCTCGGATAACACATCTTGATAGAACCGGTAGAAGAACCCCAAAGCCAATGATTTGCGGTAGGATGCCATGCCTCCAGGTACACTGAATTCGAGATCAAAATCGGACTCGAGTGCGTTCATGGTACCCTCAAGAGTATCTGGATGTGCAAACATCTTCCCCTTTAGATACTCATTTGCTTTTTTTGCTGCAACGGTAAATGGTGCCATACCACCGTAAACGAGATTGCTGTGCTCGACCGTACCTTTCTGGTTGATAGTTACGTGAAGTGCACTAGTTACTATCGCGATGTCATCGTCCTTTCTCTTGGCCTGTTTATAAGCCTTGAAGTAATCTCCCTTTTCGCTCGTTACCGGTATGCGGATAGACGCAATGATAGCGTCGGGTTCTAATGCTGTCTTGCGATAACCTTTGAAGAAAGTTGACATGGGAATCTCGGTCTTCTTCC